CTTTTTTCTTTTTGCTTATGTGGTGCTGAGGAATCAAACCCAGGGCCTCAGGCATGCAAGGCAAGCACTCTACCACTGAGCCACCTTCCCAGCCCCATGTTGTTAGCAATTTTATCTCACAGAAGCTAAAGTGCACATGCTTTAAGTACATTCTAGTGTAACCAGGTATTTAATAACTGAACCCTTGAATGGGGGGAGATCTTGTATATGCATCTTGTATATACATTTTCCAAATTTGGGGAGGGGAAGGGAAATAACAAAATGCTGAAATAAGGATACAGGCTGACCCATTTAACAATGAGAAGTACAAGACACTATGTTGAAAATGAACTTTACAACTTCAGGGGGTGGGGGGTGGAGATGCGGGGGAAGGGAAGAGTTGAGGATGTAGGAAAGGAAGGGATAGTAGGGGAAAAACAAAGGAGGGGGTAACAATGTTCGATAGCAAATGTACTCATTACCTTACTCATGTAACTGTAACTTCTCTGTACAGTATCTTCACAATATAAAAAAGCCTCAACCAAGCCCACATGAGGCTGGACAGATGTCTTGTTTGAAGCTGCTTCTGCAGTCAGAAGCTAGGGCAAGATCCTGCAGAGATTTCCAGTCAGTTGGAAAGATACATTCTTCTGAAGGCTCAGAAGGACCCAGGGTTATCTTAAGTACACATCAACCTGCTAAGGACTGGTAAATAATCACTCTAACTTTTTAGTTTGTGTCCTGTATGTACTCTTTTGTATATGCGTACAGACTACTAAGTATTTCTATCTTTATTTCCATAAACTTGACAATTAATTGAATGCAAACCATGAAGGCCATTTGGCCACTTAATTGTGCCTAAGGAGATCTCCTTTACCCACCACAAGTGGCTAGCATGTTCGTGAAGTTTGAGCATGCTGGTGGCAGGCAGCCTCTCAGGGACTAGCTGCTCTGCAAACCACAACATCACCATGAACATTTCCACAGCTGTACTTATCAGATAGATGCTCACAATGGCTGTGCTTTTCTGTTTTCAGTGCCTACTTGGACTTTCCCAGTGTGATTGGAGCAATGGTAAGATTACCTTTTTTTCTCATGAATTAAATAATTAGTCCTTAAATTCTTACTCTTTTTTTTTTTTTTTTGCTGGTCGTGGGGCCTGAACTCTGGGCCTGGGCGCTGTCCCTCAGCTTTCAGCTCAAGGCTAGCACTCCAACACCTGAGCCACAGCACCACTTCTGGCTTTTTCTGCTTATGTGGTGCTGAGGAATCGAACCCAGGGCCTCATGCATGCAAGGCAAGCACTCTACCGCTGAGCCACCTTCTCAGCCCAGTCTTACTCTTTTTTAAGTCTATGCAAATTAGTCTTTAAATTCTTGATGAGAGTATAGCTCAGTGGCAGAGCACTTGCCAATGCCCTAGGTGTGAGTCTCAATCTATAGTACGACAAGAAAAAGAAAGTAACTTGAAATTCTTGTTTCATGATAGAGACCAAAGATACAGGAATAGAGCATCAAAAAACCCAAAAGCTCTGAAATAAACTTTTGAGCACCAATATGACGCTTCAAAGGTTTCAGATCCTGCATTTTCAGATTCTAAATGTTCAGTTTGAAATACTTTTGATTCAGCCTTATAGCTAAGGGATTCTCAAACTGCATATCAAAACAGTAGAAGCACATCTAGTACGTGTCTAGACAACTCGTGACTCAGATATTAAACACTGGGCTGTGCCTAACAGGTAGTAGAAGTAAAGATTATCATGGTCATCAGTTATAATTGGAACACCATTTCTAACTTTTAACTAGGAAATATGGCTAAGATGATAAGTAATGGGTCTTAAATCTTTCCCCACATCTTATCTAGAAATGTTCATTATTAGATTCTGTCATCGCACTGTAAGCCTCCCTAACCTGAAATTAATTCTCTCATAAGTCCCTAATATTCACATACACAGAGATGAAGTATGTATATACTTGGTTTCTGTCATAGGTACAGATCTAGCAGACCTTTTTTGACCCAGTAACATCTTCCTTGTGTAGAGTAGTTGTTAGTAGATACACAGTAAATATCTTGTTACTTAGTCAATTAAATGTTTTAAGATTTCTTTGGAGGATAATCTGGTTTCTGCCACACATTTCCCCTCATTTTGTAGGCATCAACATCCGGAGCCCTCATACCTCATCCAGCATATGCAAGATACTGGGAACATTATCATCAAGCAATGGCTTGGATGAGAAGCCACCGGAGGGCTTACAGAAAGGCTGTGGAGTCCTATTTCCATTTGCTGTGGTACTGTCCTCCCACAGCATTTCCCTACAGCTCTTGGGCTGGCTATCCTCAGTCCTTCTATGGTTACTACACAGCCTGGCAGAACTCATATTACAATAACTCACAGTTTGGAAGGTCTGAACAGCCTCCATGTAATGGCAATCAGATCCAGGCTTCTATAAGTGAAGACCAAACTTGGTTTGAAGAAGAAGAGATGGAGACAGAGTCTGAAGATGAGATAGTGTGCGACCTAAGCAATATGGAAATCACTGAGGAACTCCGCCAGTATTTTGCAGAGACTGAAAGGCACAGAGAAGAGCGGCGTAAGTTCAGACCTGTCCTCAGGCTTCCTTTCCTTGCCTGGATCTCTCTTTGCCTTTTTTCTTAATCTAAACACACAGAATAACTTGTGTAACTCTTTGTTTGGGTACAAGTAATATTCTCTATCCAGTCCTGAGTTATGAAAAGCTATCAAAATGTGTTATACCTCAATTATATTAGTTGCTAGAGTTGTTTAATGAATGATTATTTTAGTTCTGAAATAAAGCTTATCCTAATTCCTCTACCATTTACCAAAGATATTTGCTTCACCAGATGACGTATGTATGGGTGTGTGTGTGTGTGT